TTTAAAAAAAAAAAAAAATAAAAAATAAAAATTGGACCTCTTTGATGGGGGAACTTGAAAACCAAATGAATACGAAAATTCAATTATGTTGGACATATATTTTTTGAATTGGATTTGAATTTATTGAATATAGTGAGTTAAAATAAAATTAAAGAAAAAAGATGATTGGTGGAGTTTTAGAATGATTTTGAGTGTGTGTTTGTGTGTGTGTGTTTGGAGAAGAGTTGAAATTGGACGATTAAAGTTGATATGATATAAAAGTAAGAGAATGAAAATTTGAAATAATCGATAGTTAAAAATATGTTAGAGGATAATGAAGAGTAATTTTTGTTCACAATTTTGTATTAATGATTGAGTGATATTATTAAATTATATTAATAATATTGGTGAAATTGTACAAAAATATATTATTATTATTTTATTTTATTTTTGGCTTTTTTTTTACAAATTTTAATTAATTAATTAATTAATTAAAGAGTGGGAGAAATTGTTCACATCACCAGTCAAACAATCTCTCGCTTTTTTTTTTTTTTTTTTTTTTTNNTTTACTTGCAGAAACCTGTTCAATTTTCCTGAGAGAATGTTTTCTTTTTGCTGTTTTGGATTCTTCTGGAGAATTCAAGACAACATCGAGATAAGTGAAATTAATGTAGTACAGTATTGTCTAAGCCCGTTTTTTAACAAGGCTCTCAAATAAATGTTCTGTACTTCTGTCTTTGTCTAACTCTATTTTGCATATATTTTAGTATTTTTTTATCATTAATATTATCAATACAGTTAAATAATAAAAAATAACTACTATATATTTAGGGCTTCTCCAGTGGTTAGCTATTTGGCTAACTATTATGACGTGGACAGGGAAAAAGTAAGAGAGAGAGTAGTCACTAGCTACTAACAAATAGCTTATCTATTTCACGTAGCCCAATATCATGTGAGAGGAGTACGTGGGTCCAATAGTGTAAAATAGTTATTTTTCTTATCTCTTACATCCACGTCAGCTAACTATATAGCTAGTAATAGCTATTACCATTGGAGATGCCCTAACATTCACATGAAGTGGGGTCCACTTGATTTTTTAATTTTGGTAGGCCCCACTAAATGTGAGTGTTATGTACACTCTTATGTACATTATTATGTACCTATATCATTACTCAAATATAAAACTCAAATGGATTACACTCCATGTGAGTGTTATGTACATATTTATGTTCATTTATTATGTACCTGCAACATTTTCCTTCTTCCAATACATAAATGAACTCAAAACACTCATTTCTTTATTCCAATACATGCATAAAACGCATGTATTGGAATAAACAAAATTTATCTTATACTACATCATTGCACGCAACATTATTTGTTTCGTTATTTGGTACATGGTCTATCAACACAAATTATTTTAGAATTTGAGATAGGTTAAATAAATCAATTATTTATTTAGCAGGATATACATATGATATATTGTAAGTGTATGCAATCATTATTTATTTTGTAAGTGCATGCAATCAATTTCAAATTTGTATTCTAGAAACAACACTCAAATTTCTAGGATGTTGATAGTATTTAAAAAAATTAGATTGCATAAAAAAATTATTGTTTATTAATTTCAAATTTATATATAGATGGATTTAGTGTTGATTATTTAATAATTAAATGAAATATTAAATACATCAAAAGTAACGGTTTTTTGAGAAAAAACGGATAAATTGCCACATAGGTAAAATTAAATAAGTTTTATTAAATACTATTAATTAGTAATTATATATATATAGATTATGTAAATATTATTTTATTTTTTAAATTTAACGAGTCGAGCTCAGCTCGTTTAACTAATAGAACTTAAGCAAAGGGGTCGAGCGGAGTTAGAACTTGTTTTGATTAATTAATAGGTCTAATAATCTCAAAATATGTTTCTTAAGGGGCTGATTGAAAACATAATAAAATTAATTTTGGTTGACTTAATAATTTTTTTACACATTCTTTACTCAACAATTTTCATAAAAAATTTCATTTTTCGAGCTTAGCTTTTAACTCATCATGCTTAACGAGCTTTTAACTAAATTGTTGACTATAAAGTAGACATGGCCGCGGGTTGAACCGATCCCGGCCCGGCCCGGCCCAAAAAGTTACGGTTCTGAGAATCGGGACCATGTCTTTGCAGTTCGGTCTCAGTTCACACTTTTTTTTTGTCCCGGCTTGGGACCGAGTCGGGATCAGTCCGGGACAGGGCCAAGACCGAGCCGAGACAAGGCCGGTTCACGAGCCCTTGGTTTTAGACGGGCCGGTCAAAGGTCACAGAAGGCCCGCCTGCCCGTGGCCCGGCCCGTTGACTGGGCCATCTACTATAAAGCTTATCAAGCTGGTCAAATTGGTTTGACCGCTCGGATAAAAAACACAATTATTACAAATATTTTTCTTTGATATTGTTCCCATGCAACGCGCCCCACGCTCCCACCCGTACACCTCCTTCATTCCGGTGAGTTAGGGTTTCAGGCCTCAGTCCCCTGTTCGACCTTGGATTTCAATTCAATGGCGTCGCAAGACCATCTCGATGACGTGAGTCGCTTCTACTGGAACGCTTTGTCCTGATTGCACCTTACGTAGAATTATTTGTACTTTTGCCCTTTCCTTTTTCAGTTTAATATCTTCATTCCTTTTTTTTTTTATATATTTTGTTATGAAAATTTATGCAGGAAGATGATTTTGGAGGTGATTTTTCTGAAGGGAATGCTGCAAGGCGTTCAGGTTCTTTGAGTTAAATATTGTCTGTAGCTTTCTTTGTGTTATGCTATTTGCCCTTGCTAAGAATTTGGTTTTGAGTTTGGCTACTAGGTAATAAGAGAAGCTTTGCGGACCTCGACGATGATGAAGATGATATTTTTGGGTCGAAGAAGGTTTCAATTACTTCTGCTACTGATTTGGAAGTTTAGAAATACCTACTTTTCATCTTTTGTTTGTTGTGCTGTGTGGTTTGTGCCTTGGTTAGCTTCTCTGTAGGTGTATATTGTCTTCAACTTGAGCTATCAATCTTAGTTAACGGTATATGTACTGAAATTTTTCGAAAATCGTTTTTTTTTTTTTTTTTAAATTGAGATTGAATCTGAAGGAAACGGTTGGGATTGTGTTCGGATGTTGAAGAAATGTCAAATGTATGGTCTTGCCTAAAGGAAAGTTGTTGTAAAATTCCATCAAAGTGAAAAATCAGAAGTGCTTGTGTATTTGAGGAACTCCAAATTTTCACAACCTTTTAACTTATTCCATCAAATTCTAAAGGATTTCCTGTGAAAGGAATATCAAAAACTCTAAGTCAGTCCTTCATAGTTGAGACCTGATTTAATTTTGCACTTATATATTTATATGTAACCGAAGAATTTTAAGAGCAGCCCAAAACGAGCCCAATGTCCATAGTTATTGTTTTCCCCAGCTTCTTGTTTGTTACTTCTGTCCTTTACCGTCAAATTCCAGGAAATTGTTTACATTTCCTTCTTCTGGCAGTACGGGCTAATAAGATTTAAATTTAACTCGTTTCTTTTGACTTTTAAGGTTAGCCAGAAAGTAGAGGAAACTGCACCAGGAGTGGCAACTGGGATGATCTTATCTCTTCGTGAGAGGTATCATCCCTTAAATTTTGGGCTTTTAGCTTTTTTGGATTGTTCAGTTTAGTATCAAGTTCTTATAAATGATAACAAGCAGAATCGAGGACTATGTTTGAAATTACCTTCTCATGCCTGTTTTTTCTTATATGCATTCGTCTGAATTAACTTAGTCATGCATTCCACGTTAATTACTTTTCTTATAGTGCACACAGCACATTGTTCAATATATTCATCCACACTGCACATCTCCAAGAGCTCATCCGTTTGTCCTCAGTGCGGACAAGGGTAAACAAGGAAACTAGCATTTCCGAGCTACCTTTAACTTTTTAAGTCTTTTACCAACTTCTGTACTGAAAATTATTGCCCTGTTTATTTGTTTGTTTCTCTTTCGTAGTCTGAAGAACTGTCAAGATGAACTCTCAAGATGCCAGGTAATTTTTCCAGTTTTATTAATGTTCGTATGTTTTCCTATGCCTGCAGGTTTCCATCTCTTTGTTCCTACTGTCTGATTGTATTGGATTTTCATCTTTCAGCTAGATATCGCATTTTAAGTTAGAAAAGGAATTAAGATTAATATAGATGCATTGTTATATTGCATATTTGTCCAATTGTGATATCAATTATTTTAACTGTTCTTGATTTGCTTAATATAGACGAAACTTGAAGATGCTAAGTCTGAGATTCAGAAGTGGCATTCTGCTTTCCAGAATGAATCCTTCATGCCTCAAGGCGCAACTCCCGGTTAGTTTTGAGTGCGTGTTCACCCTTTTTCCTCCTACCAAATTGTAGGAGTTAACCTTATAAGTCTTTTCTGGATCAATTATAATGACCTTTTTTTTGGGAATTTTTTAGAACCAAAATTCGTGGTGAACTACCTTCAGACTCTGAGGTCCTCCGAGGAGTCTCTTCGGGAGCAAGTAAGTTTTGGAACCTTTAAATCTACAATTTCATTATCTGTTCAATTTTTATTTTTTTTTTATTTATTTTTTTGTTTACTCGTATATTTATTTACTTGGTATCAGCTAGAGAAAGCGAAGAAAAAAGAAGCTGCATTCATTGTGACATTTGCTAAAAGGGAGCAGGAGATAGCTGAGTTGAAGGTCAGAAATAATGGTGTCATTACATCATTGACATTTGACCCAATCATGCATGCATTTCACTTTGTTGTCTCATCTGTTTAAGGAGAAACTCATACTTCTTTTTTAGGATTTTTGGAAAAGATGAGGCAAACTATTAAAGTGGAATGAAATTTTACTAAAAGTTTGTAAAGACAATGTATATGTCCAGGGGACTGTTGAGTTTGTGCATTGTTATTCTCATTACCAATTTGTTTTATAATCATTCTTTTTATATCTTCCAATGCATTGCTAAAAGCTTGTTCAGGTATTTTTCAAGAGAACTAAGTTGTGTTGTGTGTGTGTGTAGGCTATGCACAAAGTTATTTTCCTCTTAGTAAATTAAGAATTATATTTTCACTGCTTTATTCTTATCTTTACAGTTGTCTCCTAACTTTTGATGCAGTCTGCTCTTCGGGATCTGAGAACTCAGTTGAAGCCACCATCAATGCAGGTATATCAGAAAACTGATGAAAGCCCTTTACGCATTTTCACTCTTAATGATACTAATAACAATTAACAAACGAAAAAAGATTGTTGTACGACAATTTTGCTTGTTATCAATTCTAATTCATCATCCTGGTTGTGTTAATCCATTTGTTTAATGTGAAATGATAAAATTGACAGGCGAGGAGACTATTGCTAGATCCAGCTATCCATGAAGAGTTCACAAGATTAAAGGTGAGCGCCATTTGTGTTATTAGTAAACACAATTTAATCACTTTATTAAGGTATGTATTTTTACTTGTTGGCGTTATGTTTACCTATCTAATGATGCACGTACTTTCACATAATGCATGCGAGAAATTAATAAAGGGTCTGTATCTTTTGGAAATTTTTAGCTATATACTTTATGTCTTGGTGTGTTCTGTTGGTTGAATTTTCATTATCCAGTATGCTCTGTTACGTTTATAAAGCGATTTCTGCCTGAATTATTATTATTTTTTCCCAGAACTTAGTGGAAGAGAAGGATAAGAAAGTTAAAGAGCTGCAAGATAATATAGCTGCTGTCAGTTTTACCCCACAAAGTAAGATGGGAAAGATGTTAATGGCAAAATGCAGGACGCTGCAGGAAGAGAACGAGGAAATTGGTAACCAAGCTAATGAAGGAAAGGTGCGGTATCAAGTCAATACAGATCTTTTGTTATCTTTTTTCCTTTTTCCCGGTATAAATTAACCATCAATCTGTTTCTGCTAATGGTTTTCTATAGTAAATTTGCTTCGTATAAACTAGCCTTTGCTACATTCATTTAATTCAGTTGCTATTTTTTCTTTTATTAATCTTTTTCCCCTTTTTTTGGTAGATGCATGAATTAACAATGAAGCTTGCTTTACAAAAATCTCACAACACTGAGCTCAGGAGCCAATTTGAAGGTAAGATTTTGTAGGTTTCTTTCAGATTGTCTTTTGTAGTGTCGTGTGACTGCTGAGATGGTTCTTCTGTATCTCATGGCTGATTATAAGTTCACTCAGTGATCGACTTCAGTTTATTCTCGGCTATTGGAATGTTACTTCATTTCATTATCTACTTTTTTATATTTTTTCGTGCAGAAATATGCAAGCAGATGGAAAAACTGACGGGCGATGTTGACCGATCGAATGAGCTGGTACTTGCCTCAGTGACTCTCTTCGTCATTTTTTCTCGTTAAGCGAAGTGTGTATCCCTTACTTCTAATTTTATTTACTATTTGCCAACAAACCTTAATTTCTCTCGAAAATTTGTGCGAATGGAGAAATCGGTTATATATGATGGATTTAACCTTCTCTTTTTGCTACTTTGGGCTAAATTGTGGGAATAAACGAGAAAATGATTGAATTTTTGCCAGGTGATTATCTTGCAAGAGAAACTAGAAGCAAAGGACGACGAAATCCAGAGATTAAAAAACGAGCTGCTGCAAGGGAATGCCAATGGTGAGGAGCAGATTGAGTTAGATACTGATGTGAATGCTAATGTTGATAATGGACTGAATCTCGTTGAAGTCCAAACTGAAACTTAATTGATATGGACTGTTGGTGTACTCAGTTTTGCATTTTGAATATTGTTCTTTTTCATATTTTTTCCTTCACTTTTTTTTTCGTTGATGAACACGAGTTGTCCACTTTTTCCACCTCAGTGAATCTTTGGTGAAATATTATAATGTGGCATTAAATTCACCTCTTAAAATATTTTAATATAATATATACTAACTACCAGTGCATGATACATTAATCTTTTATTTTAAATTATCTTTTTTTTTATATTTATATGATTTTCTTTATTTTTAACTTTACTATTTTGAATTAATCATATAAAAAACATATATTGCATAATGAATTGTGTCAAATGTGTTAAAAATTAAAACATAATTTTTAAACAATGATAATATTTGAAAGTTATGATAGAATGAACATTAGAAAAAACTTGTATAAAACCCTCATTCACCAAATAAATCTTATTTGTTCGAAATCTCTTTATTTTAAAAAAAAAAATAGCAAAGTATGTCCAATAAATGACAATTTTGCACATTAACTTTCGCAATTGCATAAAATATACATTAGCTGACAAGTAACAACCATCAAACACAAACATGGTATAAAAAAAAAAAAAAAAGGCAAAACCTACCCATTAATTATTTAAAAAATAAAAAAATAAAAAATTAAGTGGTTTGAAAATAGAATGCTGGTGAGTAAAATATTATGGGATTTAAGTTTCATTAAAATAAAATTGGTGAGTAGCACTATTCCCAATATTAGGGGATTTAAGTTTCATTTTATACTAACATACTTAATTAGTATGTTGCACTAAACATTTCATACTTTTTCTCCCTATTTTTTTAATCAATGAACTTTTGAAAGTGGGATGTTTCTCTCAATATTATATTTTCGGTCTCTAAAGGGACTTTTCTGAACAAATGCATGAACGATATCAAGATACCACTAGCTTAAGTGGCATATTCTTACTTTTCGAATATTGAAATGGTGAAAATTTATATTTCGTGATGTTGTTTTTATATTCATTTTTGCTCTGAAGTTATGGTTAGAGACATAATTTTTTTTTTTTTACAGCAATAACTTTTATCACATTTTTTAACTCAACACTCGTGTAGTACACGAGTACTGTACTAATATATTTGAATAAGAAAAAAAAAAAAGAAAGAAAGAAGGCCATCTCTCCTTCCTTCTCTTGCACCTCTTTAGCGTAAAAAGTTGTAATTTTGCTAATTTATGTATATGCTTTTTCTATTTTCGAAAATTTTTCCTTTTCTATTAAAGTCATTTGTTAATTTAATACAAAAATTAGTGGCATTTTTAAATATATATGAACGCAAATTTAGAAGAATCATATCATATCAATCTTTATACTTAATATACCAATTTATCCGTATAAAGTTCTATTTTATAAGCAAGTCAACAAAGTTGACTAGCATTTAGTTACTATTTAAAATAAATCTTTACTCCCTCTATTTTTTTTTTT